TTTTTTATCTTTTTGTCCATACATTCAGAATCTTTGTGTAAAAAAGTACCTCACATTGTCAGTCCTGTTATTAGTCATATTGAATTTTAATTTACATTTCCTGTTTTTCTAAACCAGCTAACTTTAGACTTTGGTGACTTTGTTAATCCATTAAATAAGTACAACTTGATTAATCTGCTTTATTTAAAATGTCCATGTAATGCATTGATATAGCTTTGATGCAGTACCATTTTTTTTAATCCAATGTGGATACACACAATCTGTATTATTAGTTATGTGAAGGACATAGCTCTTTTGTTTAAAACTCTCACAGTCATCCCTACACATACAAAGGGGAGACCAAATATTGCAAAAAATGTCAGATACACCACAGAGTATATCAGTCAAGTTAGGAGTATAAATAACCTGTCTATTTTGATCGCACTGACTGATAGATATCTGTCTGTGGAGAAAAGGGTAGGGTACAAGCTTAGTCTGCACTACATCACAGCTGACATTTTAATCTGCCAACCATCAGCTTCTCCACTTTTTCAGAAAATCAGGTATTTCTAGGACCAATTATTTGTTTTCCTTTACATTGTTGATACACTCTAATTTTCTTTAAAAATGAAGTTGACCTTAAGATGGTTTGTATAAATCCACCCTTTTTTCTATTTTCCATATGGATTTCTGAATTTAATGCATCCTCGTAATCTGAATAAAGTAAGGTATGAAGTGTCATCTCAGTCTAGCAGCACTCCATAATGTCACTGACAAGCAATCCTGACAGTTTAGTGTGCTGCTACTCTTCCTTAGCCACTGGCCTGCATGTATTTTTGTGATGAGAGAATTTAAAAACCTATTGTACTCTCAAAAGAAAAAATATCTAATAAATCCATCTATCTATTTTCTAACCACTTTACCCAAGACAAAGTCATGGTTACCTGAGCTACCTGTTAGCTGGAAATGGCTCCAATTATTTATCAGATCAGACTTTCCCTTTTCAAAATTTATCTTTCCCCTTAGGTAGAAATTTAGATTTCACTGTGCAATTGCAGTTTTCCTATTTTGCCTAAGAATTGTAGCAGTGCCATGTCAACTGTCGTCTCAGAGAGGAAGATGCCAAAAAAAGCTGAGATGGGAGTGCAATGTAATTTACTTAAAACCTAAGAAGCAAAAGGTTTGTGGAGACTTTATGCACATCATATTTGTCACAGGTTTAACATCCACCAACATTTTAAGAGATCAAAAGGAGACATAAAAGACATAAACACTTAGTCTTTATGACCTTTGAATGCTGTTTTAATATTTTAGCAGACGGATCATCTGAATTGTAACAAGGATTCAATGTTCACATTTTTAGAGCCATATTAGAGAATATTTTAAACCTGAATGTAATCAACATTAGTTATTTCTATAATATAGCTCTGTCTAACCTTATTGTTAAAAATAAAAATAGTCATATTCTTATTAAGGACAGTTTACCTACTGTAAGACAAGAACTCATTTTTAATTGAAATGGGGTAACAACACATTTATGGAACTACTTATTTTTAAGATACAGTTGAATGTGACCCTGCGAAAAGGGAACTTCGCTCTGACTTCTTCTAGATGAGCATCCTAAGTAGTAACCTTTACAGTATAACACAATAGATGTTTTTATGTCAATTATTCATAAGCTGACAGTGCACCAATGTCAAATGAATACAAGGGCACAATGTCCTTTTATTTAAAGAAACTACTTAAACTGCCGCACTTCCCTATGTGAAAAGGTCTAAAAAAAACTGTATTGTACTTAGAGAATGTAACAAAGTACAGGTCCAGTGGGTTCCGGGCCAGTTCAAGGTTGGTTGATATCTCCCAAATTTAACTGTGGCATTCCCTGAGCATGACCAGACCACCCAGGGATCTGTGTGGACTGAAATTAATGTTTAATTGGACATCCTAGATGCAATTGAGAAATACAATTCAGCAACAGTAGTTTGAAATTCAAACAGTATTAACAAATCATGAAAGTAAAATATTTATTAATAATATATTTTAGTTCAATCTGCAATTGGCTCGTAAAAAGAAAAATACAAATAAAGCAGATAATTCAGCACAAATAAAAGCTAGATTCTATCATGAAGAATCAAATCTTCATGATTCATTACCTGCCCACTTTATTAAAAAATAAAAAATAGATGTTTTAGGTATAAGTAAATATTACAAATATGTTCAATGCACAGATGCATTATATTTAATTACTAGCCTTCTTAGTATGGTGAGGTTATAAAATGTGTCTGGTTTCCTTTCTACACCACTCTACTAAAACAAGTCAAACTAATGCCATGCCAACACGATCTCTGATACAGTGCCCTTGTCAATACGTCTGTTACAAATAAAGTTGCAGAGCAGAACCAGGAACTAATTTCATTACAGACTGCAATTAGGGACTGATTAAGTGTTGTCCTTATTGTGCTCTACATTGGGCACACTGATCCCAGAGGTTAATAACCAGCTGCAATCAATTATACTCCATCCCTGATACTAATCATTTGCTTATTTTAGATTAGAAAATACGAAAATAAGTTTGAGAGGTCTTCTTCTCTGCTTAAAATCTTCAGCATTAATTAATGTGATCTTAATGTGCACTCCAATAAGTTTGCCAAATACACTTTGCTTATTGAAACACTATGTGAGTTTCTATTAATTAATAGAGTTCTTCAATACTGGAAAAAGAACAAGAATCTGTAAAAAAAAGGTTGTTTGTTGCCACGTTGGATTAAAAGATACAGGAGCCTGCTTTATAGTGCATTCAAGGAGAAACTGAGTTTCAAATGAAAAAAAAAACAGAATATCTCAGAATGCTCAAAATATCAAAATGTACTTATATTGAACTATTCTGTAAAATGTTAAAATGTTGTTTTAATAAGCTTTTATAATTGATTTTATTTTTTTAAAATGAATCAAGGTGGTCAGAGTACATTTTACATCTCTATGTTTAAAATGCAGCTGTTACCCTTACCAGAAATAAGCAGTTTTCTGATAATGGATAGTTGTTAAAATATAGTATTTAATGAAGTAGTCAGTATTTAAGTGAAATCATATTAGTAAATTAGTCAGCCAGGTTAAAAATGACATTTGTTCCATCCATTTTCTAACCACTTTATCCAATATAGGGTCATTGGGGAGCCGGAGCCTCTCCCGGCGAACAACAGGTGCAAGGCAGGATACACCCTGGATGGGACACCAGTCCATCACAGGGCAGACAAACACAACATGCACACACTCACACCAGAGCCAGTTTTCCCTGGTATATTTTTGGACGGTGGCGGGAAACTTGGGCACATGGAGGAAACCCATGAGAACATGGGAAAACTTACAAACTCCATACAGATATCAGCCTAGAAAGTGAAGCCATCAGCACAGTACTGCTCCCACTTTCTCCATATACTGTATTCTAATAAATTATATTTCCCATTGAACTCCATCCACAAGTATATTTCACTATTTTAAATGTTATTTTCATCAAGAGTAGGCAACGTTTATTCCGTGCTATCACTGGACTTCTAATAAATGAATAACTGAATCAACCCCGAATAACATAATTGACATAAGATCACAACGATAGCTGAGAATTAGCTAAAATAAAGCTTCCCACTTGAATGGAAGTACCAAGGTAGACTACCCTTGGCCTAGATGAATGGCTACTACATTTTTTCAGAAGCATTTAAAAAATCCAGACCGAAGCTGTTTCTTGATGGTATGTAAGTAATAAAAAAGGCAAAGAGAATGTTAAAATATACAGTATAGTTAAGAGTGCAGAATTTAAATCAAGGCTGTGGTCAAATGGTGCTATATACCAGGATCATCTCATTCGTAGTATTATGCACAATTTTGTTTGCCATGTAACAGAAATATATTGCCTCTCTAGGATCAGTCCACAGAAGAGCAACCATATACTTTCTCTCTTGGCTTATAGAAACATCCTACACCAATAGAGTGAAAGCCCAGACCAGACAATTCTGCATCCATCAGTGTACCAGCTGAAAATATAACTATATCAACTATATCAATATATGTTTGGTGCAATACTCCCCTATCCCAAACTATTTGCGTAATCAGCCTTCACATTGCTGAAAGATGGGGCTCCGACTGGCACCAACAGTGAGTGTGATTATTACAATTAAAAGAAGTAATAAATAGAATTTATCCTTTAAATAGCAAGTTCCCAATATCAATTAGGAAAACTGAAAAATAAGGAGACCATCTGTCTCATTTACGCACTAACTGAACATCCCTGGCCACTAAGAATGGACTTCCTGCTAGTCCAAATATGGGCAGCAGATGGAGAGTTGCCTTTTTGCTTGCGCCATAAAGGTGGGTTGCGTGTGATATGACTCATCATTTGAACACCCACATACACTGTTTTTACGTGACCAAGAAATACAGTACATGTGAGAAAGAAAAGACTGACATCTAGATAGCTCAGTTAATCCCTAAAATCATGTTAAATCTTTTGTGGGCATGCACTCATGTGCATGAAAATGCATTTGCATTTAATCTCACTTTCAGGTTGATAATTATTGTGCTTAAAATAGATTACACAAGTGTTTATATGCAGGTTATGTGTCTGAAGATATGGTCATGCAGAGCATCCCCACCTAGCGTAAGTCACTCATGATTGGCTGCATGTGCAGTAGTCGAAGGCCACATGTAAGATGGACCAGAATAATGGCTGCCCTGTGAATACCTTGTTCTGATTTATATGCATTTTGCTCAATGCTTCTCACCAGCTTTGCTACCAGGGAAAACAGGCCTTGGAAGCCGATGATACTGAATATTCTCCTCGCCTTGTTTTCACTCAGAGTTCACACTCTTCCAGTGCTCATGAGACTGATGCTGCTGCAGCTCATACACAAGGGGAAAACAGGACTCCCTGATCTACCCCCTCCCCCTTCCCCATCTCTTAAAAAACAGCTCAGCAGTAGGCATTAAATAAATGCATGAGGGAAAAAAAAGGATTTTTCACACATTACCTTCCACAGCAGGATGATACAGCAGTGTGTCTAGCAATCGGATCAGCAGCAACAGCTTACAGAAACAGGCAGGCTAACAGTGTCACATGACCAATTCCACCTGCTGCCTTACAATGGTCATATGATTTTCTTTGGGATTCTGGGAGATGTAGTTTCCAAAGGCTCGCTCAAGTCAAGGGAAGATCATTTTTTCTTCTTCATCAGCTAAAACAAGGACAAAAACTGCAGCTTTCTGACATCCAATGTAATGTTACAAATGTCTTTATTTCATACACTACATGATTTCATCTGTACTGATAGCAGACGTGCAGTAATAAAGTTATCTTTTTCTATTTGTAGAATCTTAATCAATAAAGTTTTTTTATTACATAAATGCAATTTCTAATGTTTTAGAATACATTTATTTTTAAGAGGCACTGTTTATTTTCAAACAGGAGAAAAAACATGCAAGCAGCAAGAAAAACTATTTAGGAAATTGCTGAAGAACAGAAAGACTTACACACTTTACTTGCATGGGGTGATCTGAGGTGACATTTAATAAATGTACATCCTTAAAGCAGAATATAAAAAAAAACTGTTGTAAAACAAAACATGTTTTTTGCATTGGACTGAGAGTGGCAGAAAGCAATTTTTATAACATAGACAGTAGTGTGAAGTAGTGACTAGGGACCCAGATTGATGTGTTATTGCAATAGCAAGCCAGCTCAATCTGAAGGGAACTGCAGGTTCAGACATTTGGTGTATGTGCTTAACTGACAATCACATTGTGCAAAGCTGCCATCTGCGGGGTTATGACTGAGCAACCCTCTGTCAGAATCACCCCTTAAAGGATATTGGGAATACTGTAGGTTCAAACTCCATATGGGACATTGCTTGAGGAAAGGTCTTTACTTACTGTAGTTTTCCTCACTAAAATGCAGTGCACTGCTTACATGGGTATAGATGTAAATCCATTTGTTACAGTATGTGTAATGTAAGATATATTGGATAAAAGCATTCAACAGATAAATTAACAATTAACATTGATATACCTGGAATTTTTAAAATTGAAGTATCTCACAATTTTCACAAAAATAAACCCATTTCATTAGGCAAACATTACTGGATTTCAATCAAATCAGTGTCGGCAGCTCCTAGATCTTTGATGAGAATTAAGGGGTACAGAGTGTGTATAATAGGTTGCAGAAGCCAATATGTAGGATTAATTTTAAGTCAAAAACTTTCCGCTGCCTCTACACTCTGCTGGTAGTGATAAAACCAAAGAAAGCTGACTCAGAGTCAAACATTGCAGTTAAATAAATCTCAGTATCTTCCTTACAATAAAAACCCATTTCCCCCAGATATAATAACCTTTACAGAGACTGAGGCTTTGTATGAGGTTGTACTGTAAGATTAAATTATGAGAACTGTTGTTCCCAGCTTCCTGAAATGTATTTCTGCATGCAACAAAAGTTGTTTAGTTTTATTTTTGCTTTGACTACTTTATAATTTGAAGTATGTGAATTCCGCAAATAAATAAATGGAGTTCAGTTAAATTATATTTGGTTTCACTAAGTCCTGTGCTCCCTAGTGTAAGTCAGTAAAGTATAAGCAAGGGCTTTATTACTGTTGAAACAGAATAGGGGCTTGAGGGAAAACATCTTTTACAGCCTCACCCTTCCTGATTATCAAATGAAATGCGTGCATGCACTGTATGTTGAGCTATGGAAACATATCCTCCATGAGACTTAACATGTAGCAAACTATTAAAAATAGATACAGATACAGTGGACATGTCAAAGTGATCTCAAAACACTCTAACAGTATGAAAAGTTACTTTTGTTCCTGGTGCTATTGTGGGTGTAGTTAATACTGTTGATGTCCTAAATACTGTACAGCTACACTTACTAAAAGAGTCATTCATATTGCTACACATACTGTACATGATAAACTGTGAGTTTCTGTATAGTGTTTAGACACTTTAAGTCCCATGTCAAATTTCTATCGGGCTGGGGAAATTTAATTACATAAATTAGCGACAAGACATGAAATAGGTCAGCAATAAATTATTGATACCACCATCTGCTGACTGTGTATCAGTCTGTCTGCAAAACTCAGTGTCACTTTTCCTGCAAAATCACAGGTTTTGACAGGCTGACAACCAAGGTATGAAACACATGCAAGACATCTTGATAGAGCATTTATATTATACAAAATGTCTTCATCTCGCTCAGCAGTATCTTGTGAAATTCTTAATAAAGAGGATTTGCTGAAATGTAGTAGTGATTGAAAGGCTTTTGGCAAATTATGTTTCTGGTTATCATTTTTAGGGCTGGAAACATAGATACATACAACACAATGGATTTCTTAGAATTCTTTGAAAACATTTTGCGATGTTAAGACCAATAATGTAATGACACCCATGTAAGCGAGTGGACATTAATGGATACCACATGGACCACATGTAAATTCTTGGCAAGGGATGCATACAAATAATTATATATTTATTTTAATGCATGCAACAGGTTTTAAAAGGAAAAACATGTATAATAAAACAATGCATTTAAACTCTGTATAAATTCTTCAAAGATATTTAATGATTTAGAGTTGCTATTATAATGGTAATAGGGATGAAAATGTATTGCATGGTGTCTAAAATACAATGCAGAGAGCATGATACCTGAACACCTTTGTGAACCTCACTATTTGATGCACAACATGTTTCTTTTTTACTTTGAGTTTGTGCCATGGACTTAGTGACAACATGGTAAGTTATTTTATCTTTGCAGTGCCAATCTCTTTGCTTTGTTCCTTTCAAAAGGCAATGTCTTCTCTTAAATAATTCTCTACTAATTTTTATATTCCCAATTTAGAGTTTACACCAACGTAGAAGTAAGTAGGACACAATCACTTTGATTTACACACATTTTTTACATGCAAAGAAAAAGCACTATGAACTCTCCAACGTCTGAAATAACAAACCCCCAGTAAAGGCAATTACAATACAGTAAACCTTCATTTTAACGGCCTTCCTTTTAAAATACTTCAAATTTAACAGACAAAATATTCAAAACCAGACTTTTTCTGCAAAACTAAGAATACCTTGAATGTTATGTTTGCCCAAATAATAAAACAAGGTAAAAATAAATACTATACAGTATATGTTTAATGAATCTATGAATATCAATGATGCCCTAAAGGGATAAGTCAACTGTTAATGACATGTGTTGTTTGTGTTTTGCATGTTTTAGCAAATTTTGTACTCTTAAATAAAGAGCTTATATATTTATGATAGGAACAGTAACAATTTTTATTGACCATATTGCATGCATTTGTACACAAATAAGTCAATAGATCCACAAAGCATAAATACAGTGTAACAAAAAAAATCTTTCCAGACCCTATTCAGACGACACAATCCGGGTGAGTGAAGAAAACATGGGGGAAAAGGCATGCAGGAGTCAGGAATTAAAAC